CCCTCCTTTCCTCTCTCTTTCTGTCCCCCTTTTCTCCCTCTCTCCCCTTCCCTCTTCTGTCTTGCTGCATGCACCCGTCCCCCAAGGCCCAGCACACAGGCTGACTCTGGGAAGCCTGCTCAGTTCTCCCTGTGACCAGCAGTGCATCTTTCTCTGGTGCCTGCTCACATCCAAGGCTTTTGTTCCTGTCTCAGAACTCTGATCTTCTTGGGTCTTGGCTGCTGGTGGATTCAGGTTTTCTGCCCAAGTACGAAGGGCAAGGGGTGGCCACCTGATTTCCCTCTGCCACTCTGTCTCAGCAGCATTTCTTAAGCTGGATCAAGGCTTAAACGAGACATCGAGCACTTGGGGCTGGGACTGTCAGGTGGTCCGTAGTCCAGAGTTGTCCGCATGGATATGTGTGTGTCAGATTCTCTGTGAACACTGACTGCCTATTTCAACCAGGGCAGGGCAGGCCAAGGCAGCTTTCAAGGAGAGGCGACACTTGAATATGCAGAACTTGCTGCAATAAAAGACAAGTCTTCTAGGCACAGCAGGGGACACTGATCACAAAAATGTGCGGCAAGTGATGGGCAAGGAGGTAGGTACATTTGAGGACAGGACTGACACAAGAGGGTGAAACTGAGGCCAGGTTCCAGATTCATTTGTGCAGACTCCAGAGCCACACGGGCTGGGCCCGAATCCTGACAGGCACAGCCGTGTCATTTCTCTGTGCCTCGGTTTCCTCATCTGTAAGGTGGGGGCATGATGAGTGGCAATGTAGAGTACTTTAAGACTTGGATGAATTCATTGTTGTTAAGCCCCACGTGAGTGCTGGATAAATAAGATGAGCTGGAGGGACAGGCAGAAACCATGTTGCGTGGGGCTTGGGTTTGGGCACTGAAGTACCAAGGAGGGGACTAGGGAACCGGTTACATCTGTGCACTTGGTGGACCCCATTCCAGCTGCCCCTGGCCTCCCTGGCCTTCTGGTGTTCCCAGTGGCCCTGTGGCTGCCACCCATGTCTGTGAGGCTGCAGGGTTGGAGCTCCACCCAGCCCACACTCAGGGAAAACTGTGGCCCAGTTTATTGCCAAAGGAGGGAGGAAGGGGTCCACACACATCTGAGCAGGGCATCTGAGACCCATCCTGGCTTAAAGGCTGGAGGAATTGAACAGGAGGATGTGTTGGGTGGGGAATAGATAGGAACATGTGAGAGGAGAGACAGTAACAGAGTCACTGGAGAACAATTTGGATTTTTTTTTTTTTTTCCCTTTGGTCCTGGGAATCAAAGTCAGGACCTTGCACTTGGCAGGAAGGTGCTGTACCACTGAGCTACGTCTCCGGCCGCCCTGGAGAACAATCTGAATGGAGGACATTGGGGGTGTAACCTTGTGAGTTTAGGAGCCAGACCCACAACTTAGCCCAGCCATCTGCCGTCTGTTCCTCAGCTCCCTCATGGATAAAAAGGAGGTGAAAATAGAGGCCTCCCTCACAGGTGGGGAGGAACAAATGAGAGCCAGCGCCCACTGAGGGCTGAGCAGTGGTGTGTGGGGACCATGGGTGGCTCCATAGCACAGAGGCAGTGAGGTCCTGAGGCCTGGGCTGGAGGGGGAGGGCGATGCGTCTTACAAGCCTGGATTCCACGATGCAAGGAAAGGGAGCGTGGGAGGTTTTAGGCAGGAATTTCTAGGTCAGATTTGCTTTTTAGAGATGGCTTGGGCACTGCTTGGGAAGAGGCTGAGGCAGAGTGTGGCTGTGTTTTAAGAGTCCAGATATCAAGGAGAGACCTGAGCTCTGGTAAAGGCCCTGGTGCCCCAG